TTCAACGGTCCGTTCAATTAGTTTGCTGACGAATCGAAAAGGCCCTGACTTCGTCTCTAGCGACCAGGGAATGACACAAATAAAAATTTTTGGAAGATATGTCTATTGGGTGAACATCAATCGAGAGAAGAGAAGTGCGCTACTGCCGCTACTGTCAAGAAACAGCAAAAATGCCAAGGAAAACAGTTCTCAACTCGTGGCCTGAAGAGAAGAAACCTTGGAATAGAGTTCACATCGACTATGCCGGACCCATCAACGGAAAGATGTATCTTGTGGTTGTCGATTCATACTCGAAGTGGCCTGAAGTTTCCGAGATGTCATCGTCTACAACAAAAGCAACTTTGAAATAACTTGTTCGCATGATTTGGAAATCCGAGAGTGATCGTGTCAGACAATGGAACACAATCCACATCAAGAGAATTCAAAGAATTTTGCGACGAAAAAGGCACATACGTTCACCGCCCTTTCATCCACAATCGAATGGGTAAGCGGAGCGTTTCGTCGATACTCTGAATAGATCTCTGTTCAAATTGAAAGATGGACAGAGAGGTCGGGACCCTTTTATGATTTCTGAAGTGTTATCGAAGAACGCCGGGTACTTCAACTTCTGAACAGCTTTCACCAGCGGAATTGTTTCTCGGATGTCAGATAAAGACTACCTTGACGTCGCCTAAGGAAAAAGTCGAAGGTGGAAAAGGACCAAGATATGCAAAATGAAAAACCAATCCAAGCGTGATCACGGAGCACGAACAAGATCGTACAAAATTTAAGAACCAGCTTCGATTCGAGTCTAACGGGCCAGACACAAGAAATGGATACTGGCAAGTCGTTTTGGACGATTTCTGTACGATGTTTTGACGGGAGCTCAGCTGTGCGGAAGACATGCGAATCAGCTGCGAGCTAAAACAAACCAAAATTTCGCTAATGTAGAAATGCAAACACTTGATGAACATTTAGGGAGAGCATAATGACGCAGCGGTGACTATGACGATTCTGGAAACGATGCTCAGAATCGAACTAAATCGGCACTACCGCAGACAACCGGGAAACATGGAACCAACACCGACACCGCCGTTCACCCAATCGTCTTCAAGTGAATCCGAAAATGAAGACATATGTGATATGCTCAGCGCAGGGGGAGGTGTTAGGGAGGTAGTAGCCTACACAACAATATGTTTATCATTGTGTGTGAAAGGACTACTCTCTGAGTATGGTTCATTATTCGTCTGCGATTCAGTGAGCGACTGGGTTAGCCGCCTGTAAAGGTACAACATGGCGTGTTGTTACCTTGTCATCGTATCGGATCTTCAAAATGTAAAGTGCGATTTGATAGTTCGGTGCTGTCAAAGCGAGTCCTGGGACTGTGTGCAAAGCTCGGCGCCGCAAACACGATTTTAATAGAGAGAAGATGGTCGTGTCATTAAAGGAATCTTCCACGGAAAACATCGCCTCCATTCCTACAAAAAAACGATACCTTAGGCCCCTTGCTTCATGAAGATAGCAAAAAGAACGGAACATAAGCGATGGTTTTGATAATAATTATGATAACCAGTTCGACTATGAAAATTTTGAATTCCCGCTGTAAAACTTCCACAACTGTTAGCGGCGTGGAGTCAACACGTTCCAGGAGCTGTTTCTCTTGTGTCGAACATTGTTCAGCCAATGATGACAGATGTGACGTCGGAGTTGGTCTTTATCGTTGGTGAAGAGGGTGGGAAGGGTAGGACGGGATTGCTGGAGTGCGGTTAGACGTAAAACTGTTGAGAGATGGGTAGCGGATATGAAACGTGTCGTTGTGGCTTGTGAACGGTTGCAGATCGAATGGCAATGAGTAGACGTGGAGCCGCGGAAGTTGACCGTAGACTTCGGATCAGAGTCAACCCTGCGTTGCGCAGTTCGCAACGGCACGTTGAGAGATCCTCAACGCACGCTGTATGGGCGGAGACACAGACGGCTCGAGCATGCGAGTGTGAATGTTCGCGCGAGAGAACGTGTCTAATCGGGCGAAACTGCGCAACGTGGCCGTTGAGAACTGCGCAACGCAGGGTTGACTCTGCTTCGGATGTCGTGGTGTTTACGTCGTGGTACTTGTGGACTTGAAGTTGTGGATGTCGGGCTTTGGATGTAGCGGCTCGACTGGCGATGAGTAGATGTGAACGCCGCGGAAGCTGAAGATCTGTGAGGTGAGTCATTTGTGTCGACGGCGAGGTATTTTTGGACGTGAATTCTGTCGATGAGACGGTGTGGATGTGGGATTGTAAAGGGAGGAAATGGAAGGAGGAGACGTGGAATGTAGATGTAGGAGTAGGCTCTAGTCGGAACCGTTTATCGGTAGACCAGCTCGGTTTATATACCGTCGTATTTTAATCATTTCGAACCTCAGACAGAATATGTGAAGCATATTAAATTGTGACTCATTAGGGGGTGTGGCGTTTGTCCTCCTGGGGTCAGGCTGCCGCCGCACGCGGCGATCGGGCTCGCCGCGTGTGCGGCGATTCTGCGATGTGGAGGTTAGTTGGTGTATCTTTTTTCAATAGGCATACACATTTGAGGAGTCAGTCAGTTGAACCCTTCCGCCGTTATAATTGTGGGCTGATCGTTGTTATAATTAAAGTATTGGATTGGTGGTTTGGTTTCTTTTTTGCCGTAGCCGTGCCATTTTTTTGAGCCACTGTCAAAAGAGAACTTGTCAAAGCTTATGGCAAACAACAGTCCGTTATCAAAACTGTAGGAGTGAAAAAGACTGCGCTAAGGATTAGACTTCATATGTGTGTAGGTATACCGCCCGTATTTCATGATCTACTCTCGTTCGCTGCCATTGGGAAGAACGGGTCAGTCAAATTAAAAACAGGTCACTCAAACAGCGCCTATGCCAAGAAAAGTTGCCTGTTTGGCAGAAAAAGGTCAGTCAAATTAACGACAGGTCACTCAAACAGCCAAAATAGGGTTGAAGAGGGCTAGAACCATATAATTCCAACCACTAATCAATCCTCTATTGGCATTGTGAGTACATAGGACTAAAAAAATGATTCGATAACTACAGACAACTAATGCAACCTATATAAAGCAATCCCAATCAGTTTTGAATGAGCAAACTCACCTTCAATCCGTCAGTAAAACAATATCAGCCCAGCAAATATAGCAGTCTATCGATCGACAGCCCGATAACTTGGCAAAATGCCACAGATGGGCGGAGCGAACCGTCACATCGCCTTCGCCGCATCAATCGCCGCGCGCGGCGAGTGGAATCGCCGCGTGCGACGGCGCGGCGGCGGCCCCAGGAGGACAAACGCCCGTCTCCCCTCATTAGGCAGCGAAGTGTTTTGATGGCTTGTCGAATTTCTTGTAGAACTGCCTTACAATTTTGCGGAATGCAGAAAACTTCTGATGAGGCCACTTACTACTTTAAGCTAAGCCTCAGGGAGGGAAAGAGATCCTAGGCGAGGTTGTGAGCAATTTTCGTTCTCCGGGGCATTTCTCCATTCACCTGTGCTCAGATGACCTCTTTTGAATGAGCCCCCCTACCCTCCCCTCCCCACACATCGCGCCTCATATTTGTAAGCATGATGACAGATGTGACGCCGGAGTTAGTTTTAATCGTTGGTGAAGAGTGTGGGGGGGGGAGAGGAGTTGAAATTGCTAGAGTGCGGCTAGACGTAAAAGGTGTGAATGAATGTCAGTTTATCTTAGAATAGTGCTGTCCCGAAGCCTCATAAAGATCTCTGAATGTCGAACAACAGTTTGAGGCTCCAAAAATTTATTTCAAAAAGCTTCAAAAGTTTGAATATCAAAAGCTTTTCAAAATAACTTGCAATATTTCGGTGCTTAGCACCTTCGTCAGGCCTGAAATATGCTTCTTTCTAGAGTCGGACAATATACGAAATATTAAGACCAACTCACACGCGTTCGCCTCTGTCAAATACAAACTTACCCGACGACAAATTAGTATAACCTACCCCGCTCGCACCTTAAATATTAGCAATCTCATGCAGTAGTTGAAATGCATGATATCATGTGACAATTTGGAGAATGTCACGTAGCTCTTCCTTGCTGTTTATTTCGGGTGCTAAGCCGTTTTATCTCAAGGGCTTCCAGTATTTTCCTTTCCTGTTGTGTTCTCTATTGAGCGGTGTAGCACTTTAACTACTAGTGTGGGGGTTCTTCTTGTGCATGTTCTTTTGTACGATGTCTGGAGAAACTGCTATTAGGATAAGCCGATGGATTTCTTAACGCCCTGCGGTGCTCATCTAGCCTTTTGTAAGAGGTCTCTTCGTTTCTCCGACATATTTTTGCCCGCATCCTTGACATTCTACCAAGTAAACCGATCCCCTAAGTTGACATATTTTATTGTCATTACAGTATGCACAACCCTCTCTGCCACATTTTTCTTCATATGGCCTTGAAGTATGTGAGTAGATGTTTGAGATTCGGTGGCGGACGGAATATAATCGTATCGGGAGAGGTGAGCTTTTGACCACACTGTTCACTTTTAATGCCGTGCTTTCATTAACATACGGCATCACCATGGATATTCCATCTGGTGTCGAGTGTGGTCTCCATGTATATATTGGTGCTTTCACATAACCGTTCTCCCTTAGAATATTGTCCACCATCGAATCTACTTCATCAGACTGTTGGGTGCAAATTTTCTCCTTGGTGGATACTAGGTTGTGAGTCAGTTTAGTAATTAGGGCTTCGAATTATCCTTAGGTACCAAGGAAGGCATCCAAGTTCCCATAGAACTTTGAATCAAGACCTAGACTTATCGACAGAGCTTTGAACGCTGATTACAAGTACAAATATGGGAACTAAACTGCAAAATGAACCTGCCAAGGAAGTTGTGAGCAGTCAAAGTTCGGTTGGAAGTAAAGCGTCACATACGCATGGTGCTAGCGTCGAGTCGCCGTAAAGTGGGGGTACTGCTCTCGCTCTCCAGCCGTGGGGTCATGAGCTCTCTTCATGTTGGAATGCAAACATTTTAAGAACACTGCCGCTATTCCTTGGCTGTCCTGAATACTCCGATGCTGGCACGGTTCATATGTGACGCTTTACTTCCAGCCAACTTTGACTGCTCACAACTTCCTTGGCAGGTTCATTTTGCAGTTTTAGTTTCCATATTTGTAATCAGCGTTTGAAGCTCTATCGATATATCTGGGTCTAATTTAAAGTTCCATAGTAAGCCGAATGCCTTCCCCGGTCAAGGCAATGTTTCGATGAAAAATTAAATCTCTAGATTTGGAGTCGTAATAGTGGAATAGTACCTATTACTCCGCTTTATTCCGATTCTTGGAATGCTTTCAGCAATCAGCGGTTCTCCTGGGCGACGGACTTTTGGCTCGTCCGGGTTGGCACGCGGCAAATTGCGCGGCGAGCGGCGCGGCGATCCCGACGCATCGCGGGAATTCAACACGTCAACGTGTGAAGATTGCGGATAAAATCCGCAAGGTTCTGCAATTCGAAATGCATCTGAACGGCTGGAATTTTGAGGACAGCGGTGGTTGTAGCAATAGGAAGAGATGAGAAGGAACTAGCATAGTGCTGTTATGGCAATCATGTTGTTGGGGGGGGGGGACGTTCCATTTGGGGGATGTGAGTGAGACAATTACTGTGTTTGGGACCGAGACTTAGGGAGGAGAAGGGATTCTGGGGATAGAGCTACCCTAGGACCACAGCAGAAGGGTTCCCTGGCGTTCTTCCCCTCTGCTGGGCTTAGTCCTAGTGTCACCTACCATCGACCCTGTTTTGTGTCTTGTTTTGAATGTCTTGTTCTGTGTTGAATGTTTCTCCTTGGACGTGAACGCCTCGATCAGCAAAACATATATAGTTGACATTAAATACCTCAACAAAAACTCCCAATTTTAGTGACTCTTATTTGCTTTGATGGTAGTAGTGACATTTACATGAAGGTCCTCACTCATCTCTTGCGCTGAAATCTCCTCACCGATACTGCTGCTTCCAATCCCCGCGAGCGGAAAGATTTTCAAACAGCAGAACCATGCGGAGTTTATCCGCAATCTGCACACGCATTGACGTGTTGAATTCTACCCGAAGAACCCGCGAAGCCTTGTCCCGTCCAGATCGCCGCGCGTGCCGCCGCGCAACTCGCCGCGTGCCAGTCCGGACGAGCCAAAAGTCCCGCACCCGGTTCTCCTGAATCCACACACAAAGGCTACTACCGTCTAGCCGCTGAAACTCCCGAACTGCTTGCTATGAACGTTGGCCTGACCAAATGGTTCTAGATTTGCCGTCGGAAAAGCGGTCTTGTCCGTAGCCACACCATCAATACCGTAGGATCACGCCTGAACATCCTCTGTTGGCCGAGTGCCAACTCGGCTTTATTGTATCACGCAGTTCTACTTTCCTTCTTTGCACATTCCAGCTTTATTGCCGCAAGTAGTGTGGTATAATTAGTGCAGTGATAATTACATATATACATATGATCTTTAGGATTGTTTTCGTGAGCAGCGGAAGCATTTAATTACCGTAAAGATGGAGTCATTAATGGAGAAGAAGATTGATCTACTGTAAGAATACCATCCTTGAGGTTTCATCATCCACTAAGGAGGGAGGGTAGATGAAGAGGAGGAGGGTGCGACGGCGTGGTGTTCTGCTCATCTGAAGGTGTGGTTCGCTAGGATGGAAATACATATTTTTATATGGATATTTTTCGCTCTCACAAAATTTTTTAGCGGCAAGAACCCCAGGTGCACTCCTCATCAGTGGTGGATTTAGGGATTCCGCAGCAAAAAAATGTTCCGCGCTGTGAGAAGCGGAAAAGTTTTCTTACCTCATCGGGACGACACTCCTCATCTGGCGCTCTCTCGAGCGCGATAGCACTAGATAACCTAAGCCTGGTAGGAAGGAACTAATATGATTTATAATTTCACACAATCCTGCTTCTCGCACACGGTGAGTAACTTGCATATCCTGGGTCCCCTTCCTCTAGGCTCATCTCAATCCTTCAATTGAGGTGTTATTTCAGCATGTCTACAATAGGTAAGCGGAGATTCAAGGAGCGACGAATCTCCTTTAATGTCCCTAGGTTCAGGCTTAATGCCATCGCGCTTGAGAAAGTGCCGTGTGGCCGAAAGTGCCATTCTTCCTCTCACATCCTCCCCCCCCCCCCCCACCTAACTTACTTAGCACCGATTGGGGCATGTGGCGCAACACTTCCTAGCCCTTGAAGTGATCCAATTTTCTGCAGAAGAGGGAAGCTTCGTGGTAGGTGTGAAAGCGAAAGGGAAATGCTTCGAGCGCCCGGAAATGTCCTCTCCTCACAAAAGTTGGAATTTCTGATCAGCGTTGCGGTGAATTTGAGGTTCCCGCAGCGGAAAATGCTTCGAGCTGCGAAACGCGGAAAAGTCGCTTTCTGCCCTAGTGAACCAAACCCTGTTCCCTGCTCCCCCTCAGTGGATGAGACCCACTTTTTTTATGCCTTTTGCTGCATCTGCACTGTTCTCAATGCTTTGCAGAATGGGGCAACCAGGTGTTGTTGGTGTATGTGTTTGCGGTGCCAATGGTCTTCCACTCTCAGCCAAAGGATCGCTAAAAGTAAGTGTTCATGATTGGGCTTGTTTTACGTCGATGTTTTCTAACCCCTTTACAACTTTTTATGTGATGCTGATCTTGGTTTGTTTTTCAAAATGATCTCTATCAGCTCTCAGTGTTGACGATCAATAGCAAGAGCCTATATGTGCGGTGATATAATAGATGAACGCTTCCATCGGAAAATGATTACAATAGTCCGAAGCTCCTTCAAGGGGTGATAGATGTTAGAAATTAAAGCGTTATAGGAGCAAATGTATGGGCGGCGCTATGTATCTAAGGCTTGTGACAGAATTTGCTGTTCGAGCGATTTGTCAGCAGTTCGATGGATGCATAAGCGATCTGAGACTGTGAAGAAGTGGCGAGAGTTCCACTCATTAGAATGTTGTCCCTTTCGTCACTTTCCTAGACTTACATTTCCCACGCGTTTTCGAGAAAGTGGCGAGAGTCAACGAATGAAGAGGGTGAGAGTCAACGAACGAATGGGAATGAAAGGGTCTCTGTCCATTCTCCCTCGCTTTCGAATCGCTGGTGCATCGTTCAAATCGCTGGTGCATCGTTCAAACCGATGACGCTTCGTTCGTGCCCCGCGACTATTGGATTCGCAAACCAGACTCCGGCCTAAGGCGACACAACTGTGTGCAGGGAGCATCCGGAGCAATTATGTTCAGTGTAGAAATAAATTGACTATTTTTTTCCTGCATTTTAAACTCTTTCTTTATTAACTTGGTCGCAATGTTGTTTGCGAAATTTAATATTGCCAGTTGGCACAGCACGCGTTGCGCGCACAGCACAGTTCTGCGGCGATGGGATGGTGCGGCGTAAATTCTCGAATTTGGCCCAATACACTTCGAATATTTGACTTTCAAGCTGAATTCTATCCGATTGTCCCATGCTTCATCCACCGATGGCTTTTGACCTTCCCTCCTTCGTCCACCAATTGTCCCCTTCGTCAACCAATTGTCCGTTTTCCCGGTCTCGGACTGCCTCTGGACCGATTTATGAATCTCGTGGTAAACTCCGCCTATTTCTTTGCATGTCCCACCTATCTTTTTCTTCCTCGCCAACCTCTTCCCACTTTTTACCCGATCTCTGAACTATCTCTGAGCCGATTTATATTTTGGCGGCGAATCCTGCTTTTTTGGTGTATCCTCCGCACACCATTAGAAATTCACTTCCTTTCCTTCGCCCACTTCTCTCCCGGTCTCCAGGACTACTTGGAGCCGAGTTACAAAGTTTCGTGGAAGACTCCGCCCACTTTGGACATGCCCGCCCACCAATAGCAGTTGGGCTCCACTCCTTCACCCACCTCTATCCACCTTTTTCCCGGCCTCCGGGACTTCTTGGAGCCGAGTTATGAATTTTCGTCGCAAACTCCGCCCACTTTGGTCAGCCCCGCCCACCATGACAGCTGGCCTCCACTCCTCCACCCACCTCATCCACCTTTTTCCCGGCCTCCGGGACTTCTTGGAGCCGAGTTATGAATTTTCGTCGCAAACTCCGCCCACTTTGGTCAAGCCCCGCCCACCGATGACAGTTGGCCTCCACTCCTCCACCCACCTCTATCCACCTTTTTCCGGCTCACTAAGACTTCTCCGGCCCGAATTATGAGGACTTGTAGAAAACGCTGTACACTTCAGAGCGCGCTCCGCCCATTGTGGGCGGCCTCCGCCCACGTCATGTATGCTGGGAACACCTTAGACATTGCTCCCCTACACCAATTTGTTTTCTGCTCTGTAGGCTTTCTCCCAACCGAGTTATGAAATTTTTCATAAAGCACTGCTTTTTTGGAGAACGCCCCGCCCACCGGGGTGGGTCTCCCTAATTCGATCTGACTTACCAATGCACACCTTACCCACTTTTTGGCCCAGTTTCGAGGCTGTTTTGTCACTGAAATTGAAATCTTGGTCGTACAGTTCATTTCGATGCACGCCACGCCCACTGTGGGCGGGGCTCCGCTTAGCTGATGTGTGTTTTGTACTTCGTGAGACCTTGCCCACCCATCCCACACTTGACCCGGTCCTCCAGGCGGATCCCGAGGAGCTAGGGAATTTCGTGACAGACATACAGAACGACAGACGACAGACGAAGCGCTTTATAAGTAGGATCGCCTAAACTATTCAAATTTGTTCATAGGGGTAGGGATTCATAGAAATAGTTTAGTCTCCGTTCATGTCAGCCTTAAGATTTCGCCAAGTTTAAGGAGCGATAGGAGCGCCGGCTGAGCGAACTACACCTCGTGAAACGCGAAAGCTTTATTTCACATAAGAATTGGTTCAGTCAGTCCGGCGTTCCTTCCCTCTAGGTCTATTAACCGGTGCATTCTTCAGGGTGTGGTTTACTCGGATATAAAGCGAAATTTCCGCTATCCGCATGCGAAACATTTTCCCGGCAAAATTCCCAGGTCCACCCATGATCAGCGGTGGACTCGGGATTCCTGCAGCGAAAAAAGTTTCGCGCTGCGAAAAGCGGGAAATTCGCTTTCTGTCCCAGTGAACCACACCCGATTCTTCATCCCTTCAGCTCACCATAGTTTCTTCGCACGTTCCAGCGTTAAGTGCTGTCCAAAATTGGAAAACTTAGGAAAGGCATAGAAATGATGCTCGCTTTGCTCCATTGCTTCCATTGAACCGTTACGTACAAATGGGTTCATCATTCCGCAACAAAAGTATCACACTAACCATAAGTTGTCTTACATTAGATCCGTAGTGCCGATGCATCCAGAGTGAGGAATTTAGTGGGTGCCGTCATGCTGGCAGAGTCACGAAATAATCAAAAAAAAAGTTGGGTGGGAGTCATAGGGGTAATCACTGAATCCGCTGATTTTATGTTGATCGCGCGTCTAATCAATCTCATAAACCAATAACACCAGAACGTAACTAGTTCCTTTCTTGGCTTTCCAGTTTTTTTGATCGATCAGTTTTTTTTACAGATTTTCTGACTCAATATGGTCGATGGGCGGTGTGAGGGTCTAAGAAACGTGATTTGGCTACAATTTCAATGAGGTTTTGTAAGGGAATGATGGAAATACTGGTCTCGATAGAGGTGTGGTTGCAAAAGTAGTGGCATTATATGGACAAGTTATGTGGAAACGGTTGGAGGGGTATGCTAAAGAGGGTGTCCCGGTACTGTAAAAGTTTTGACAAGTGGAAAAGTGGTGAGAGATCGTAACGTCGAACTGCAAATCTCTCACCATAACGCAGTCTTAGACTTGACGTTTTATTTTCAAATTCAATAAATCACGTCTCATTCACTTCTAAATTCTGTTTTATCATCTATTACCTTGATCGCATTCTAATATGATTTCCAACTGACATGTTTCTTTGCTTGTCTGAAGGAATGTGTAGATGGCTAGAGGCTCATACTGCTGTGTACAACGGATTCTATACAGACCTAACAGATACTCTGATTTTCCCGGTAGCTTTGTAGGCGGATTGAATACTTGGGTACAAGTGCATAAATTGCTCAAAAGGGTTGATAGCTGTCATCACCTTGACTTTTTGTCAAGTTACTTCCTTAGTTCAGGCTAAGCGAGCCTTTCCATCCTTCCTCATTGGTCGATTAAGCGGCATCACATTGGGAGGTTGAAAACAAAGGCTCATACATCGGCTGGCTCTTTTGTGTGATTGTTCAGGCGAAAACGTATTGAATCTAATACAAAATTCTGAATGAAAGTGGTGGCGTGGTGCAGTTCAAAAACTGTTTGTTCAACTCCGAATGTTTCATTTTCCTTTCCGTTTTTTGTTCTTGTTTTCTCCATACCCTGTAGGCCGAGTACTAAGTTCACAACTGATGGTCGCCCTTGACGGTCTAGTCACCCGAACACCAAATCGCACAAAAAAATCAATTTATTTATAAACAACGACAATTCAAAAACACGATGTTCTAACAACAGTAGTAATCTTGAGCGGACGTCGGACAAGGCGGTTGCGATCGGAGAGGGTCGCTGAGATCCCTGTAATGAGTTGCACCAGACTCTAGGGGGTTCTCTCCCACACCTAGTTGCAGATCCTGTTCTTCGTCACTAAGGCTTACGGCTTCAAGAGGGGGCTTTCCCACTTAGGGCCCCCTCACTACACGCTACTAAAGCTGCGATTGGCCACTTAGGCCACTGGAACCGACGAGAAGAACAAAAGAGAATAGGAATAGTTGAGCAGACCAAAAGAATCTCCCTGAGTCACCAAGACACCTTTTTATATGTGTTCTCTCCCGCGCCAACCAGCCCGCTTGATCAGAACTACGTGGGTCACAGTTGACCCCTCAGAGGGCCCTGCGTTTTAGCGGCCCTCTCTCGTAGGAGTCCGTTTTCTCCGACAGTGTACACCTAATGTTGCGCTCTTTCTGAAATTCCCAATATCTGTATCAATTTCATAGTTCCCCACTTTTCTTTCCATCCTTTCGTCCTGCCTTAATTCCTGTTTCAAAAATAGCCACTGAGAAAACAAACTTAAATTGCTTCATTATTTTTCTGAACAAGTTGCAGCCCTCCATGTAACGGACATATGGACTGACTATCTCGCAAATAACTTGAATGGAGATGTATGTTCCAACCTAGATTGCATCACAGTAGGCCGTTTTGTGCAGTATGCTTGTCCTTGTGCCTATCATAACAGCGTTTTCTGAACTAGATTCATTTTTTGAAAACGAAAACCTGCAAGATGAATTCATTTGGTGCTATTTTAGCCGGATGTGGCACCATTGGCATCTCAACTACTCGCATTCTGCTCTCAGCTGGAACCGACAAGTTCTGTTTCCCCTGAAGTAAGCCTTGTGAGCGATCATGGCAAGGTGTGTTCATCTATTCAATTCCTATATGCGAAGTAAAATAATACGAATCAACTGTGAGTGTTGGCATGTACTCCTGGTTAGTGTGCGGTGTCTCATTTCGAGGAGATGTTCGAAAATTGTTAATCTCAACTTCCTTATTCCAGGTCACGTTTTCAAAAAAGGACGAACTCATCTTAGTGCTACATCAGAATTCCTGATTGCTACTTTTTCAAGCTTCTCAAACTTCCAAATAAATAATTTATTAGTATATGTAGTGCTCCTTATTTTTGCTCAGGAAGACAATCCTGCTGTGTCTTCATTATTACTTACTAGTGATTTTAGTTTCCTGCCTTACATGCTCAATAAATGTGACCTCAATTTGCTGTGGTCACTTTGCTTATAGTTCCAGCGATAGGATCCTGATCGTATCGTATTTGATCCTTTCATTTCCTTGTGTTAATTTGTCCCGATTAAAAGGTGCTATAATAAGATTGGTTTCTAGAATGAGCCAGGTGAACGTGAATCTTGAGTTTTCGGGTGGTTGCGAGTTCCTTGTTGGAAATCAGAAGCAGCATAAGGTGTGGTTTCTGAGTTCTTGCTCTGTTGTTATTCTATCTAATTAGGTACTTGCAATATTTCAGATTTCAATACCGTCCACTGAAGACTTTGTGACTGTAGGAGATGTTGTTAGATATGTCAATGACGTTATGTTGAAGGTAAGGTAGTCATCTGTCTCTTCTTCCGTGTTCAGAGCAAACACATTCCCCGAGCATGCTTTTTCCTGTTGTGGGGTACTTTTATATTTTGTACTCTGAGCAATTTTACGAGTTATGGTTGGAGTAACAATAGGAAAACTTATGGAAGAATGTGATTCTGCATAAGATTACGTTTTTCCTGGCTTGTTGGTCCGTTTATGATTTTGATTAGTCTTGAGACTCAGTGATTCAATATAGTTTGTACGCAAGCGCGCAATAATGAGATTACGATCATTAGCCTGCCTTATTTAGACTGTGCTTCTGTTCGCCAATGGAAGCATAGCGTTCAGAGCTTCAAGAAATATTTTCATAGTCTTCAGTCTGCGAAATTCTTTATTTCTGCTCCATTTCTGAGATTTTACACACAGCTGGGAAATGAGTGCTATATCTCTTGTTGTTCTTAAGCGTTTTCTCAATTATGTCAACCAGTTGTAGCGTTGAGGTAGTGAGAAGTGGTTGCAAGTGTTACAGTTCTCGAACTAAACGAGCATGGCTGTCTACTCGGGTGGAATGCTTTTTTTCAGACAGTCTTATCGAATCTGATAGTTAGATTATATCTGTGAGTTCTTATTTCGAAACAAATATTACTGTTTTTGCGTGACGCAACTTGGTGAAATTCTCTTTTTATCAGTTGGATCCATCCGCTGAGCGGCTCTTAAACGGATAAATTTATGGCTTTTGAGCTATCTTGTTGATGAACATTTGGATTGTTTTTTATTGCAAAATGTCTATATTTCCATCTTTTCAAGGATTGTGATCGTCGTGAACTTCTCATCGACGAAGGCATGATAAGACCGGGTGTGTTTTGGTGCTGGTCAACGACTGCGACTGGGAACTTGTAGGCTGTGTATGTTTATATTATCTTTGTGTAGTGTGAGTCGCTGGGACACATCGAGACTTTTTCTTTTTCGGCGCGCGCAGCCTTTTCGCATGGCGGATACCAGGTCCACGTGGCGCTGGGTTTGGGGTGAACGCAGCAAAAAAAAATCGCGTTCTGTCTTTAGAGAGCCACACCCATGTATGTGTTATGCATGCACTTCTTCAGCCGCAGGTTCAGCCGTCCGTTTAGCGGAGAACAAAAGGGGGATCGTATTTGGCGAATCGAAAGAGGAGGAGGTCGTAAGCGCGAGGACCATTCACAGAATTTGGAGGTCCCAAGGCATAGCGAAGTGGGAAAGGAGTACAGATTCTCAAACATCACTGCGACTACTAACCAGAGACGAGTACGTGTCCAATCCAAATTGGGTATTTTATTTGAAATACGTCTCATCCCAGTGAACACGGGCCAGCAATGTCTTTCAAAGAGATTTCGATGCTCTTAGTCCAAATCAAAGTGGAGGAAAGTGTGAAGAATTCAGCAGACTGACTTCTAGATACCCAAAAAATTCTTCCAGAAATGAAGTTTTTATAAGGCTTTTCAGAAGAACTCAGCACATCCTTCAAAGTCGTAATCCGTAAATTTAACGGCTTTTACCGAATTCCATTTCTTTATATCAAAGAAGCCGACGGGCGTTAGAAGGTTGAAAAGTCACGTTTCAGGGAAATTTCCTAAAAAATCTCGAGTTAAAAGCGGAACAACGACACTATTTTCCGAGAAGGTGATCTTCGAAAAAGTGCAGTGCCTTCTTTAATCTTCTAATTTCTGATTAGTCGTAAAGACTTGCAAAAAGTTGTTTATGAAGGAAGCTATGAGACCGCCGTCATACTCGGTGACGGACGACGCGATCGCTCCATCGCTTGTCCGTCGCCAAGTGTGACAGCGGTCTGAACGTCTGAATGTTGAAAACTCGCACGTGCACGAAAAACGGAACAGCGGGACGATTCTTTGAAGAAATTGAACATTTGCAACAGTTTCAAACACTATTTAGAAAGAAAACAATGTTTCAAATTTTCGTATACCATCCCATGAGAGTGCTGATGAGAAAATGTGTAAAAAAGAGATTTGGAAGTTTGAAAAAAAATTGGTAGGTTTTTGAAATTAGGAATCTTTGCGATTACAGCCCTGCTTTTAATGCTGAATGTTCAAAATTATTTTTGTTCAATGAGTAAAATTCATTTTGCATCAAGTTCCGTTCTCTGAATGAGCATAGCGCGTAAGTTCGTCTTGCCCACACTCCTTATCCATGTCGATAACGGCCCATATATCGATGGTGGACATAATTTCGGAATTGGCACAACGGATGGTTGACCCTGCTCAGTCATCCACTTACTGAATAATGGAATACCAACGACTCGTTCTTCTGAGTAGGAGCCGAAACGGCCCACCTCTTATTTCGGAATGCTTATTATATATTCTTATTCTTCAACCTATTAAACATGTCATGGATGCTCTGTAACTCTCATTTTTCAAGGAACAAGCGGAGTTGCACAATGGTGACCTGGTTACGTTTATATCGACGCTGCACGGCGGATGATCGTTCGTAATGTGTTGGGTGTAACTAATGTGGGCGCCAGATGTGTTTCTGAACAAGGTTTTGGATGGGCTTCAAGGGTCCTCTGTGAACTCTCCAATTCACCAAAATTCGTTCACCTATATGTTGCTGTACCTTTTTCAACCTTTTGCAGCTTTTACGTGGCGCTTGCAGTGTTCAGTAGAGGTCTCTTGTTGCAGTTTTGGTTGAACTCGTAGAGTTCTCCGAACAGTTATCGTCTGTGTTTTTTTTTTATTGATAGCCTTTTTGATGTTGGCAGTGTTATAAAATGACCACGTAGATGCTCATCTATGAGCTTTTTTATTGACTGTAATTAATATTGTTCACTTTTGATGCCCTTCAAAATGAAGGAAATTTACACGCGTGCGCATGTGAAGGGATATGAGCTGAGACCGCAGACGAAGAGGTGTTAGAGAACAGAACAGAACGAAAAAAAACACGTCATCGTGCACTAATAAGCTACAGATCTGCTATAAGCTCCCTATGGTCTTCGATGCACATGTGGATGCTTGTTGAGATTGCAAATCTATCATTCCTCGTGCCGTTGACTTGAGTACATCTAGAGTCAACCGTAACATGCCCATAGGGGTAATTCGATATGCTGATCACGAAAACGACATTCGTTTTTAGCGGTGGCGGCATCTGGCGCCAGTTGGCGCCACCTTGTCACGACCCTTGTTTTCGCCAAAATCGGTGTAAACTTCAGTATAGGGGTTATTTGGGACCCTGATTACGAATATGACATTCGTTTTTGGCGTTAACGTTGTTTAGTGCACATGTCTCGGTTGGAGAGCGCAGACGAGCAGAAAATAGGCGTCAAACAGCGCCAGCGCCTATAATGAATGTCATATTCGTAATCAGGGTCCCAAATAACCCCTATACTGAAGTTTACACCGATTTTTGACGAAAACAAGGGTCGTGACAAGGTGGCGCCAACTGGCGCCAGATGGCGCCAGCGCTGAAAATGAAAGTCATTTTCGTGATCAGGGCATCGACTTACCTCTATAGGCAAATTTGCGGTGGTTTCTAAGGTGTACAAAGTTACACTGCACGAGCGGGGGTGGTTTTACGTGAAATCGGCGCGGGCTTATACACCGGAAATTAGGGTACTTGGAGAGGCCTGTTTAAGGCCTGCAGATGGGTGGGTATTCTACCAAAAAACATAGGAAAAGATGAGTAGCACCTTTGTGAGTGAAGTGAGATAATGACCCACCGAGACTGGTACGCCCACTCGAAGATGATGCATTATACAGAAAATTCAGACCGGTTCCTAGACATTCTCGAGCAAAAAATAAAATTAAAGGAATCTTGCGCGGAAAAATCATGATTCTATTTCAGCCATAAATCACTGGCTTGAGACTCATTATCCACGATAATAGTGAAAAGAACTGAAGTATTGCTTTCGTTTTGATTAGAAATTCGAAAACTCGAAAAGGCTGCTACGCGTTCGAATTGCCCACGGACGTCTTTCACGAATGCTGGCGACGGGGATGCTCAAACTTGGTTCTTGGAGTGCATTCACTAGAAGCTCTTTCTGGCCTTCTGCTTCGTTGCATTCACATCTTACACTCTACTCCATCCTATTCCATCGATCGATTTGTCTCCAC